CTTCAGTGTTCTCTCAATACCATTCAACTCTTTATTTGCTTTCTTTCAATCTTAGAAAAACATGAGATATGACATTCTGAATCAGATTTATGGTCTGTCCAGTTCTTTCTGACAAGAGCCTGAAAAAATAGCATATGGGCAAGTGTATTTACAACTATGATGTCAACTGTCCAAGACAATAGTAATAATAGTTAGCATTTATATAGTGCGTACTGGTTTGCAAAGTGCTTTATAAATATTATCTCATTTTATCTTCATAGCAACTTGAGAGGTGCATGCTATTATTTCCCCTATCTGAAAGGTAAAGAAACTGAGGCAAAGAGAAGTTAAGTAACTTTCCCAGGGTCACTCGACTAGGAAGTCTCAGGCCACGTTTGAATTCTGAATTTCTTGACTCTAGGCCCCACACTCTATCCAGGAGGCCACCTAGGGGTATTTTAAAAAACACCTTTAAGTTTCTCTTAATAACTTGTCTATCATGAATTGATTATTTGTGATCTTATTTCAACTCTTTTGAATCCATTTTATCTTCTTGGGTGGAGCAGCATTTTGGGATAACAAGTTTACTACCTGCTGTGGAAAATACAACATTACTTGTCCTAAAACTCCCTCCTTCAAGCTTCAATGGGCACCCTGTAATTCTAGTGCTCCTAATCTGTGTTCATGATATCCATATCCTTCATTATTTTATAGACTTTAATCACATCCCCTCAGAGCTTTTATCTTTCCAGACTGAAGTCTAACTGATTTAAACTCTTCATCTGTCATCATATAAACATGTACATATAAATACTGCTATTTTTCAAATATATGTGTGTGTGTCACTGTGGTTAGTATTGTTAATACAATGCAAATTTAAGGGCTCTATATCAAGCGTTTTACAAAGTGCATTCATTTTACCTGACCCAACTCTGATCTTATTCAAAATCTGTAATTTTCCTTTTTCCTCCCAACTTTTCTCTATATATTGTAACTCCTGCACCTACAAAATGGAGAAATAAGAGGCTAATAAACTGGGGTTACTGCACCATAGGGGAAAAAACACAAGTCTGAGAGTCAAAGGTCCTTGGTTCTAGGTACAACTCTAATCCTACCAGCTGTGTACTCATCTTTTTATGTTTTCCAGACTTTTCTCTTCTCTGTAATATAAAGGAGTAAATAAAAAATCTATAAATTCTTTTCAAGTTATAATAATCAATCAATGGGGTAATAAAACAGATTTCTGAGGAGCCAGTAAATTCTTCTTTAGTCTCATGTGATTTTAGAGAAGGATGGCACCTTGGGGATTATAAACTTCAGCATCTTCTTTGAGTCATAGTTGGTGTAAATGAGGCCCAGAGAGAAGCATTTTGCCCAAGGTCACACATGTAATTACGGGCAGAGTTGAGATTCAAATGAGATCTTTGAGCTTCAAGTTCAATTTTCTTTCTCCTTCACAGCTGGGTGGTACAATAAATGGAGCACTAGACCTGGAGTCAGGAAGACCTAAGAGTTTGAATCTAATCTTTGACATTTACAATATGACCCTCTGCAAGTCACTTAACCTTGGTCTACCTCTTTTTCCTCATCTATAAAATGGGGACAATAATAGCACCTATATTGCAAGGTTGTTGTGAAGATCAAATGAGGTAATATTTGAAAAGTGCTTTATAAATCTTAAAACTCTAAGTGATTGCTATTATTGTCATTGTTGTCCTTATTTAACACTTAATCAGACTATTAACTTAAGATGTCTTACATAGATCTGAAGAGATCAGGCCAAAAACTCCTATCTGAGTGTTTTATCTTGTCTTTTCCTGGTCCTCTTCCTTTAGCTATGATGGTATTTGTTTTCTAACTTGTTTAAGCCTGTCAACAGTGATTTCTAACCATTTTGACTATGTGGACCCTTTTTAATATTCAGAAGTGTCCTAGACTCCCACATGATAGAAATGCTTGAAGACAAAAAGTTATTATGATTTTGATACACTTTTATATGAATCTGTGTTTCATTACTCACCACAACATCTACTTACATTTGATAGATGGTAATATATACATATAAATACATATACAAATATATATTTCCATATACTCGTGTATTTATTGATGTACATCTACATATATATGTATGCTAATATGTATATGTTGTTGCATGCAGTCAATCCTCAACTTTCCCAGGGATATAATGTTCCTAGAAAATGGTAAGTAAAAAAGTGAATGTTGATACATTGAACCTGTGGGAAATAGGAGGGAAGATTCCTGCAACCACTAAAAAACATAATTTTTCACCAGAGATTACAGAAAATATATTTTCTTCACATAATTTTATAACAAAACATTAACTTTGATAATACACACTTTCCCTAATGCGGCAACTATAAAATAACCCATAAAATTCAGGGAAGAAAAGAGGGGTTGCTGGACAGCACTGGGTGGGGTTGGGGCAGAGATGTCAGAAGAACCTCAAGGTAATAAAAGGCATCTCTAATCTCCTTTTGGCTTGTTGTATAAATTGCTCCCAGATGAAAAGCACATGGCTTGGGGTGAGTCTCCACCTCTTGCCCCAGTTCAGAAATCCTGTCCAGGGCAGCTTAGCCCAGCATGCCTCTCAGCAGTCCAGAGAGGAGGGTCAGGCCTCACTGCTCTGCTTGCTGGCCAGGATGTTCAGGAGCCTGGCAGCATGGGCAGCAGGGGAGGCGGGCCTCTTCCTTGGGCATAGCCGTAGGGATGATGGTTGTTGTCAACAGTAAAATAAAAATGAGGTTATTAATAAAATCATGCAAATGCTTGAAGAAACTTAAACAGAGTGTGTTAAGGATTGACTGTATTTGTTTTGCACATCTTATCTTCTTCCTACCAGTTTATATGCTCTTTAAGTGGAGAAAGCCATGTCTAACATATCTTTATGGCCTATTTAGCATCTAAAACAGTGCTAAATAAAATGAATGCATGCAATAGTAATTCTGCTGCATATATTATGACCTACATGCATATATAATGCATGATATATATGTGTATATAATTTATATGTATATATATATAACAAATATGTCCCTCTGGATCTCCTTGCTACTTTGCCATCATTCAGTATGGACCATTATGGATAATCAATTTTGAAAAATATGGCCTAAAGCTATCATTAGTACAGCACTTTCTATGGCCATAGAAGCCACAAATTCAAAAGAAAAATCATTTAATAAGGATATTAAAATGATATTAATTATAAGAAATACACAAGTATAGAATCATTCTCTTATGTTATACAACAATAGGTACAAGCTCCTTGTAAGTTGTAGGAGAATTATAATTGAATCCTCCTAATTCCCACCAGTCCTCTTCAATATAGGGAGAAGGGCATAGCCCTTCCAGAGCTCATGACCCAGGGACAAAATTTAGGGCTCATGGTTGCCTGCTTCACAGAGTTCAACTGAAGTCCTGAGACAGAGTGGAATATGCTTAAGCCTCTTGGTTTGGCATCAGAGTCATAAGTATTCACCCAGAATTCTAGGAATTCATCTATTCCCTTTTGACCTTTATGCCCTGATGACAGCCTACCTCTTGAAGTTTGACTCTCAATCTCACTTTCTCACACACCTGCTTTAGCCAAATTTCCTTTGTAAAACCTGCCATCTTTCAGAATACTTCCTAAGAATCAGACTTGGTTATGTCACCAGTCAAAGGCCATAACTACAGATTTGGGGGAAATGTAGTACAAGGAATATATCCCAGTGAGCAACACTGTCTAGACATCAGATATCATAGGAAATGAAATATTGGGAATCTCCCTCCTCAGATATACCCACACCATACATATAAAAGATGTTACTTATTCATTGTACAGAATGTATGTTTGCTTACTTATAGACACATAAAGATTTGTGAACTCCTCTCAAAAAGTCTGAGACTCCCCTCCACATACACATCTCCCCCTCTGGGGGGTCTAAGGTCTTCAGGATTGGGAATGAGCACAGTAAAATATAGATTTCTGAGGAGCTAGCAAAATCTTCTTTAGTTTCATGGGATTTTAGAGAAGGAAGGCACGTTGGAGATCATATGCTTCAACCTCTTCTTTGTATAGTTGATTCAAATGAGGCCCAGAGAGAAGTATTTTGTTCAGACTCACACATGGAATTAATGGCAGAGTGGAAATTTGAACTTCGATCTTCGGGCTTCAAGACCAACTCTCTTTTTGCTTGTCAGCTGGATGGTGCAATAGATGGGGTGCTGGCCCTGGAGTCTGGAAGCCCTAAGTATTTGACACTTATAGTGTGACCTGGTGGTGGAGAGGTGGTGTGGGTGTCATTTTTTTTTACTAACCTTACCAGTGGTACTCTACAATGCTAGCATCTCGTTTTTGACCAGTGGATTGCTGATTAAAGTTCCATCATCTTTTTATCTTTTTAAGCTGTATACATAGACTGTTGGTAATAAAGCACAATCACCAATAGATCTAATGCCACCATTTCTTAGGCTCTAGAGTAGAAAAGTTCTATAGCTATTCTTCAGGTATGATGAATCAGGCCATCAGGTTTAGGTTCTAAATTGTAGAGGACTTTGTATACCTTGGAAGAGATTAAGAGAAGGGAGGACATTTATCAGTTGGTGCAAAAAAACCCCCACCAAAAACCTTGAATTTAGATACATACAATCAACTGTAATACCATCCACACTAACATTTGCTTTAAAACTTTGAAATTATTTATTCCAAGCTTCTTACTGTAGAAATGAGGAAACTAACAAGGAAAATTAAGAAACTTGCCCAGTCTCAGACAGGTAGCAAGTAACAGCAGGAGGATTATAGTTCTCTGATTTTAAATACTGATTGGATGCTCTATTCACTCTATTACATTCACTTTCACCATGACTAAGTGTATGAGATCTCTTTTGAACTTAAACATGCTCCTTACACTCCATGTTTCTTTCTGGAGTTTATTTTTCTCTCTTCTTTTTTTCTAAGGTGGACCAATCATTTTATTTCCCCCTGATTGGTTCAGGAATGTTGATGGGCAGATAGCTCTTTACATGGGCTTTGGAGGGGGTCTGGGGGCAGCACCAGCAGGTCTGAAGCCAGGTGGGGGTGTCCGATACTTTCGTGCCTCACAGGACCGATTCCTCACTAGCTTGCTGTGGATCACACAGCTCACACAGTAATGCAGTTTCACATACAGTTTAGGCAGCACATAGGAGTTGAAGACGCTGGCCTCGGAGATGTCACTGACGGCCGCGGCTTCCACGATGTTGCAGATGACCAACTTCTTGATGGCCTTGTCCTTGGGCACGCAGAGGGTGCAGCTGGTGCAGTGGTTCGGCTGCACGTGGCCGCGGCCCTGCTTGGCTCGCCCTTTGTTCCTCCTCTTTTTGATCGTGTTGGAAGCAGGGAACCGAAAAAGCCTTTTTTCCTCTTCAAGAAAGTTAGTGATACAGATTTTAATCTAGTTTCCCCTGGTTTTTCTACATCGAATCACCCTGGAACTTAAAACCGTGCTAGGCTTGTCCTCTGAACATTGTTGATGAGCCTTTTACTTTGGTGTATGGATTCTGATTACTTTAGAAATATCCTCAACACTCACTATGTCCTTGTGGACACTAGAATTCATATTGAATCTATTCTTTCATTCAACACCATTTTAAGTGCTGAGGAGAATATAAAGACATATGAAGCATGGCATTTGACCTCAGCAAACTTATAACTTGGTAAGAAAGACATGTGAATAAATAAAAATAATATTACACCATAAAAACAACTGATATTTCAATACTGCTATAAGATTTAAAAAGTGTTTTAAATATATTATCTCATTTTATCTTCACAACAATCTTTTTAGGTAAGTACTATTATTACCTCCATTTTACAGGTGAATAAACTGAGGTCCAGAGATCAAATGAGTTGTTCAAGGTCACAAAGTATCTGAGGTGGGATTTGAACCAACAACTTTCTGACTTCAGGTCTAATACTATCCATTATGTAATGCTATTTTTCTGAATTACTGCATAGTAATTAAGGAAGATAGTTGCTTAATCCCTTAAGAATTCAAGAATGAGAGAGAATTTCCAATTTGGAATTGCTTAATAATAAAATATTTCATGGCACAGCTGAAATTTATATTTAGGCTTATATGACAGGTGAGATTTCAATGGGCAGGGACAGATTTTAAATTTTTGTTATGTGGAGAAGTCAAATTGTTAGATTTTAAAATGTAGGTTCTTGAATGGTTTGGTGTAATTAAAGGAATTTCAAAGATAAAGGGAAAAATTGTAGAATATCTGTCTTCCTGGACTCTGTCCCACAATGCTTGCTAAACACATAGAATAACAGACCTGAAAAAGATATGGACAGGCAGTTTGCAGGCAAAAACAAAAAATCAAAGCTATCTATATTCATATAAAAATGCTCTAAAAGTCTACATCACTTTGGACTAGAGAAATGCAAATCAGAACAACTCTCAGGTACCACCTACACCTATGAGATTGGCTAATATGATGGAAAAGGAAAATGATAAATGTTGGAAAGGATTAGGAAAATTGGGACACTAATGTACTGGTGGCATAGTTTTGTGATCCAACCATTCTGGAAAGCAATTTGGAACTATGACCAAAGGGCATAAAGGGCATAAAACTATGCATACCCTTTGATCTAGCAATACTAGGACTAGGTCTGTATCCCAATATTTATAGCAGCTCTTTTAGAGGTAGTAAAGAATTGGAAATTGAGGCGATGTCCATCAAATGGGGAATGGCTGAATGTTGTGGTATACAATTGTGGTAGAACATTATTGTGCTATAAGAAATGATAAGCAGTACAATTTCAGAAAATCCTGCAAAGACTTCCATGAACTGATTCAGAGTAAAATGAGCAAAACCAGGAGAGTATTATAATAATTATAATAATTGCTGCTGCTGCTGCTGCTACTACTACTACTACCACCACTACTACTATATCCAGTTACAGCAATATTGTACAATGGACAACTGTGAATGACTTAGCTATTCTCAGTAATACAATAATGCAAAACAATCCCAAAGTGTTGAGGTTTAGGGATTTTGGGACCCCACAATAGTGACACACAAGTCCTGCCTGAATGAATTTGACCCAAACCTTCTTTCAGCCAAAGACAAGATTTCTTTTTGTTTTTTGTTTTTTTATAATTTATTTATTTTTAGTTTTCAACATTCATTTTCATAAGATTTTGATTTTTAAAGTACCCTTCCCTTTCTTCCCTCTCCCAAGATGGCATATAACCTGATATAGGCTCTACATATACATTCATGTTAAGCATATTTCCCCATTAGTCTTGATGTAAAGAACAATTTGAACTAATGAGAGGAACAATGAGAATGAAGCAATAAAACAAAACAACAAAAGAAAAGGAGAGCAAATAGTATGTTTCCATACGCATTCAGACTCCGTATTTCTTTCTCTGCGTGTGGATAGCATTTTCCATTGTGAGTCTCTTGGAGTTGTCTTACATTCTTGCATTGCTGTGAAGAGCCAAGTCTATCAAAGTCAATCTTCCCATAATGTGGTTGTTGCTGTGTACAATGTTCTGGTTCTGCTCATTTCACTCTGCATCAGTTCATGTAAATCTTTCCAACTTTTTTTTTGAAGTCTGCCTGTTCATCATTTCTTACAGCACAATAATATTCCCTTACATTCATATACTACAACTTGTTCAGCATTCCCCAATTAACTGGCATCCCCTCAATTTCCAATTCTTTGCCACCACAAAAAGAGCTGCTATAAATATTTTTTTTTGTATATGTGGATCCTTTTCCTGTTTTTATGATCTCTTTGGGATACAGACCTAAAAGTGTTATTGCTGGGTCAAAGGGTATGCACAATTTTGTAGCCCTTTGGGCATAGTTCCAAATTGCTCTCCAAAATGGTTGGATCATTTCACAACTCCACCAACAATGCATTAACGCTCCAATTTTCCCACATCTTCTCCAACATTTATCATTGTCCTGTTTGGTCATGTTAGCCAAACTGATAGGTGTGATGTGGTACCTCAGAGTTGTTTTGATTTGCATTTCTCTAATTAATAGTGATTTAGGACATTTTTTTTCACAGGACTACAGATAGCTTTCATTTCTTCCTCTGAAAACTGCCTGTTCATGTCCTTTGACCATTTATTAATGGGGACTGACTTGTATTCTTATAAATTTGACTCAGTTCTCTACGTGTTTTAGAAATGAGGGCTTTATCAGAGACATTGATTATAAAAATTATTTCCCAGTTTTCTGCTTCTGTTCCAATCTTAAAATCTACCATATTAACCAGACTGTTAAGGAATCTGAATATTTGTGATGTTCCTATTGACCAGAGGGCCAGATGGAATCTGAATACCTTAATGGAGACAAGATAATCTTATATACAGAAAGACTGTGGGAGGGATATAGGAGTGGCCAAGTAGTTTGCAGTGACTGGAGCAGGGGTCTGGGAGAAGGGGGCTAGGGAGGATCTTGATGGAAGTGGCCAGTAGGCTGGGATGAGTGGAGGAGGAGTCTAGGGAGGATCTTCATGGGAGTGACTGGGAGGTATAATGGGGTCTAGATAGGATCAAGAGTGGGAAGTAGGGGGAGCAGCAATGAGGAGGTAGCAGACAATGAAGGTTGGGCTGTGTCAGAGGTTACACAGTTGGGAGATTGGGCATTGCCAAAATGAAAAGCCAGTTGAGAGGATTAGTGGGATGATGCCTCAGGAGAACACCAAAGACTTGGCCATGTGGGAAAAGGAGAAGACTCATGGAAAGTTGGGAAGGAGGGGGGGGTCGTTTCCCAGGGCCCTATCCCATCAAAAGGACTCATGAGGAAAAATGTTATCTACCTCTAGAGAAAGAACTGATGGCATCTGAATATAGACCAGTATATACTATTTTTTTCTTCCTTCCTTCCTTTCTCTCTCTCTCTCTCTCTCTCTCTCTCTCTCTCTCTCTCTCTCTCTCTCTCTCTCTCTCCTCTCTCTCTCTCTCTCTCTCTCTCTCTCTCTCTCTCTCTTTCTCTTGCTTTCTCTCTCTCTCTCTCTCTCTCTCTCTCTCTCTCTCTCTCTCTCTTTCTCTTGCTTTCTTTCTCTTGCTTTCTCCTTATTTCTTCTTTGTCCTTATTTCTTCTTCCTTTCTTCCTTCCTTCCTCTGTTTCTTTCCTCCTCTCTTTTTTTTTGTTTTGTTCAAGTTTCCTTCTACAAAGTGACTAACATGGAAATGTTTTACATGACTGTACACGTATTACCTATGTCAAATTGCTTGCTGTCTTAAGAAGAGGGGAGGGAAGGAAGGGAGGGATAGAATTTTGGAACTCAAAACTTTAAAAAATTTGTTAAAATTGTTTTTACATTTAAATGGAGAAAATTATATATACATACACACATACATATGTATACACATACACATATACACATACATACACACACATAAAAGAAAAATAGATTTGCTACCAATTTTTCCACAGGCATTTAAATTTGCATATATTTCCCACTCCATCATCATGGAACAGAAAATAGTTAGGCTAATCTGGGTTTACAAATGTTATTATAATAAATCATTTTGTTACACAGTGATTTTCATATTTCAAAGCTCCATTAGCTTTACTATAGGGGAAAAGTTACTGTTTAATTAATAGTACAAATTTTAAATAGTCTAAATTGCACCCAGGGAGACTGAGAGTTGGTTTTCATTTTTTCTAGGAGATTATCCGAGAATACAGCAGTTTAGATAGAATCAAAATGTTATGTAATACATATAACTACTGAAATCTTTTGACAGTTTTTCAGTAAATATCCACCAAAGAATAAGCCTCCTATTCTAAGTAGATGATTAATAGGTAAACACCAGCTCTCTCAGGCATTCCAAGAAGCAGTGTGCAACATTTTCCCTAGAGCCTAACTGTTCCTGCCAAAAGTAGGTCACCAAATCTTGATTCTTACTTACCATTATCCCTCCTCCACAATCTAATTCCCTTCTTCCATACTCCCTCAAACCCACTCTAACTCCCTATCCTTCAAAACAGCACATTAACATAGGTATGCTCTGAAACTACCACAATCATCTCTTTACCCTTCTACCACAGAACAGGACCTGGTACCTGAAGAAACTTAAGACTATGTTTCCCAATTTAAGCCATCATTCTCTGTACATCTCAAGCCAATCCACCCACTGTCTCCACTCAATTCACCATGTTGATCATCCCTATTCTCTAGACTAGATTCTATACCTAGAACCACACTGATCTTTGGTAGGCCACATTTGGCCTCAGCTTGCTTGTAGAGCTCCATAGTACTTCTTGGATATCTTCTAACCATTCCAAATGTGTACCAACTACCCCCCTCTTTCTTTTCTCTTCATATATTGTAGTCTTCTATGAGAATGTAACTCTTTAGGGACAGAGACTGTATTGCTTGCTTTTATTTTTATTGGTAGCACTTAGCAGTGCCTGGAGCATTGTAGACCTATAATAAATGTTCTATCTCTCTGATATGCAATCAAAAATGTTTTTTCTAACAAAAAAAATTCTAGAACAAATCAGTAGATGCCTCTGGTTTTCACAGTCTTATTGTGGTCAAATTTGAATGCTCAGGTGTTCATGGCCAGGAAAAAGCAAGAAAGAAGGAATTAGGGGAGAATAGAAGAAGGACATGGAAAGAAAGAGTCTATTTTGTTTTAAGTTTATTGGTAAGGACCGTTGATAGGAAAGGATTTTTTTTTGTTTATTTTGCTTTGTCTTGTGTTTTCACAAGTTGAAATTTCTGCCTAGATCTGGCATTGGTCCCTCAATGAATATTTTGGAAACACTGGATTTGAGGAATATGATCTAGATGGAGAAGTAGGAGGGAAAGGAACAGCACAGCAACACAAACTAAAGAGAAAAGTATTCACATTCCCAGAATGCTGAACCTGGGAAAGAAGCCCAGCGTCTGTAATGAAGTGCCAAATGAAAGACCTGATTTGAAGCAAACAGGAAAAAGAAGGATGATATCAACTATACTCCTCAACATTTTTGGATTTTTATGTGTTTGTTTTAGCTTGTGATTTTTGAGTTCAGGTGAGTCCTTTTGCAAGTGTTGATTCAAAGAATTGAAGGGAATTGAATGATTATTATATTCTTCTCTTTTTCTTCTTACATTATCTCTCTTGGTGACCTTATCAACTCCCCTGAGCTCAATTATGCAGATGAGTCCTTGATTTACATATACAGCTCTAATCTCTCTCCTGAGCTCTATTCCTCACATCACCAGTTGCCAATTGGATATTTCAAATTGAATGTCTTATAGGTAATTCAAACTTTCCATGTCCAAAACAGAATTCATTGTATTCCCCCCATTTCAAAACTACCACTCCTTTACTTCTCTATTTCTCTCAAAGGTATTATTGAGGTTTACAGACTTAAAGTGCTGAGACCTCAAAATCACAACACTCGAGTCCTGCATAAATGAATTCAACCCAATTCTTCTTTCAGCCAAAGTCAAGGTTTATTAGAACATCTGTCATATTGGCTAGACTCTTAAGGAAACTAAGCATTTGTATCACTACTGCAAGCAGATCAGATATTAAGAATCAGAGTAGGGGCAACTAGGTGGTACGGTGGATAGAGCACCAGCCCTGGATTCAGGAGGACCTGGGTTCAAATCCAGCCTCAGACACATAACGCTTACTAGCTGTGTGACCCTGGGCAAGTCACTTAACTCCAGTGTCTAACCAAAAAAAAAAAAAAGAGTCAGAGCACCTTAATGGAGACAAGATGAATCTTATATGCAGAAAAACTGTGGGAGGGATCCAGTAGTGGCCAAGTAGTCTAGGATGACTGGAGGAGGGGTCTAAGGAGGAATACCAGGGACAAGGACCACATGGCCAAGGGAGTCTAGACAGAATTAAGGATAGGAAGTGACCAGGGGCAATTGGGAGGTAGCAAAACTGAATTGGGAGATTGGGCATAGCCACAATGAAAGGCCAGTTAAGTGGATTACAATCTCAGGCAAATGCCAGAGATTGGGGAAAAGTCCATGGGTTTTCTTTTCTGGGATCTAGATCCCAAAGACATGGTCTTCTCCTTTTAGGGATTCAGATCATGTCCCCATTAGTACCACCATACTTCCAGTCTCTCAATTTTGTAATTTCACTGTCATTCTTGACTTCCCTCTCTCCCTAATTCCACATGTCCTATCTGTCAGAATCTCATAATTATAGAATTTTAGAGGTAGTAGAAACTCAGAAGTCCTTTAATCAGACCCATAACTGACTAACAAGTCCTGCTATAACATTCCTAAGAAGTGGTCATCCTGCAGGCCTCCATTAAATAAAAATCAAATACCTCTCAAGGCAAGTATTTCACTTTTGAAGTAGAGGGCGGGGGAGTGAGTAATGTCTGCTGAGAGAGAGGACTGATGGTTTAAAAATATATCTTGTTTGAGAAAATATGAAATATCTATCTAGGAAAACATCCACACTGTGACTTTGTCTCTATATAAGGGGCAAATCAAATCTCCCTGTTGTATTGCTGATATCTCATGACCCATGAGCCAATCTAATGGTTATAATGCATATGTGTTCACCAGCCTTTGATAAGATTCAATCTATATGCCAAGACAAGGACTTCTTTATTTGGAAGCATTTCAGAGAACCAGAGCTGCTGTGATCTTAACTTTTCCTTCCTCTTCACTTGATCCCTCATCAGTTATACCCAATATATTTCAGTACATTTCACTGGGATATGTAGGTTTTGTTCATATGCTCTCTTTTCATTTGGCTGGGGTTCTGGTGGTAGAGAGCATTTGCTCCTAAATGGTGGGAAATAGACAGGAGAGACTGATTACTTCTCTAATCTGAAAATTAGCACTTCAGACACAGAACAAAAGGTCTGTTACTGTCCATTTTCTGGCAGGCAGCAGAATCTAGTTCAAAAAAGTTTATGACATGGTAAATATGTTTCTCTGCCCCCAGGAAGTTGCTTGAAATAAACCTAGAACATCCAGTATAACTATAACACTTAGAGACAGGATGGTTTTGAAAATCCAATTAGATAATATATGTAAAGTATCTTATAAACCTTCAATTTGTCATCTTTATCATCATTAGAACTATGTCATTCATAGCCAAATGTAGAATTACATCCCCTGATTTGCCTGCCCCAAGACAGATAGAGTGGTATGCAGCTACAAATGTGTAATTTCATATTCCCCCCCACATATACAAACATTCATACATATATAATACATATACACACATACACATACATGCATATACATATGCATACATATGTTTGTGTATTTATGTATATATATGTATACATACAAGCACATGTGTGCATACACACACGTGTGTGTGTGTGTGTGTGTGTGTATAAATCTCTTCCACTAGACTTGATGATGCTTTAAATTATTTTAACTGCAGAAAAAAAAAATCTTTCATTCTTTAATTAGAGATAATTTTTTTAAGTGCAAATACCTGGTTGAGGTAGCACATTGAAACTAGTTCTAGCTTGCTTGTAATAAGTCCATCAATTAAGAAACATAAAAGACTGACGTCAAACCTTGTTTCACTTTGATTAGAGGGAAAGGGGAGGTGTATACAGTTGGGCACCTGGAATGAGGAATGAAGCCAACTGCTCAGTCAAACAAATGCAGGCTGAGGAACTGAAGATAAAATGAAGGTGAGAGTCAGTTCTGTTTACCCATAGATGAATGTAAACTGAAGTTGTTCATGGTGTTACTTTTTCTTGTTCATATATGGCTACGATTGCACATGGCTTTGCTATGAAACATTCGTGAATGTGCATTTGTATATAAATTTATACTTCATTATAAAGTAGCTTTGTTCTTAGATTTGACAGAAGATATGTCTTTATATTTAATGTTTTTGTTTAATAATGCATAGATATGTTAGATATATTTATACGTGTTATATGTTACCCATATATACAATTATATTAATATATCATTAACATGTGATATATAATTGTACTGTGATATATAAGTATATATTAATCATATTATATTAATATATTGCTTGTATATTATACAAAATAGAATAATATAGTATATAATAATATTAACACATTTATATATCATCACCTATAGATGCAATTTCTGTATATGCATCCAGGCAGCCTTGGATGGTAGATGAAAAGCTGACCTTGATAACTGGAAGATGTGGGTTCAAGTCCTGTCTCTTAAACTGGCTATGTGACCCTGGGTGAATCACTTAACCTCTTAGTATATTAGTAGCTCTAAGAAGTGAAGACTATAAATTGCAGAGAAATTGTTGTCTTAGATTGGTATAGGAAGTTCTCTCACCAGGTAGTTACTGATATTAAGGAAATAACAAGCCCCTAACCACTATGAATACAAATAACTACCATCCAAGTTGATTTAGTGTTATTGTGCACTTCTTTAGTCCCTACAAAATCTGAAGAATAAAGTATTTTGTCTATAGCTTGCTAGGTAATGGGATAGCTTAAGAGGCTTGATAAAACACTTCAGAGACACATGGTGCAGAACTGGTTCAGGAATCAGGATTATAATGGACCCGGGGAAGAATCTGCTTTTGTCCCTACTTCCTTTGGTGATTCTATACTACACTCATACAGACTAATCTCAAGAGTATAAAGGGAAAGGGAACTACAAAGAAATAACATATCCCATGGGAAGTTTAATTCTTCTCTTAAAAATGTTTTAAAGTTATTTTAAAGACTAGAAAGGACTGGAAACCTGGCATCAAAGATTGTGATACAGAATATATTTCCCCAAGATTCTCCAGAGAAAAAGTGGTTAACGTTACCAGTATTAGGAGCCAGGATTTCCCCGCTTTACCAGCAAAAAGTAGCTATGTGTATTGGTTCAATAATTTTAGTACCAAGTTAATTTATTCTAATACCATTTATTACTTCAATATTTCAGGGACTTATGATATTACCTATCTGGCCTACTTTCTTCATTGAAAGAGGTCATTGTGATGTCAAAGATGGTTTGGACAAATTACTAAGGCTGATAATATGCACTAACTGCTGATTAACTCTGCTAATAATCCTCTATGAACTTAGCTCTTCTTCCAGACATGCTTAATCCTAGAAAATTGCTTCAGTCTTAGAATTCACACCTCTGAGGTACCCTCTTCCTTTGTAGACCCTCCTTCCAAAAGGATGGCTCTTACTTTGGATGGGGGTGAGATGGAGAAAGGGAAACTACTTAAAAATTACTTATTTAATGTATTTTATTTACTTAAGTAAATATTTCCCAATTATATTTTAAAATATTTTAACATACTTTTAAATTTTTTTCAG